GCTACTCTGGTTGAGTATTAAGAGATCAAACAAACCGATAATCGCACAAAGGTGTGTATGTCAAAAGAATCGACTCAGTAAAATTTAGTGTTTCATTACGGCGTTAGTCAGCATTACATTCCATGCTGTAGAGCTTATTCATCTGTCTGAACAAGCACCGACATGAACATTAGGGGCTTGTTAAATCTCAACCCCAATAATTTTTCCAGGTCACTGGCTAAACTTTATACAGTCATGGACGAAAGTATTGATAAGTCCTCAGACAATTCTCGGCTCTTCTTTCTCTTCTCCATGCTTGGTGTGGCACACACAGGCACACAACACAAAGGTTGATCCAACTTTCATACACTCTAACTGGCTTCAGTTTTGATTTCTATATTGCCAGCACCTGTTACTTGCTACAGGTGAGTTTAAATGAACATCACATGCTTGAAATGAAATTATTTACCCACAGTTTTAATAGGGTGCCAATGATTTTGTCCAGTCCATTATGGGAGTTTTGTGTAAAATGATGTCAAATTTGCCTTTTTTCTTCTGCTTTTTTGTACTGTTCCAATGCACTTAAAGGTAATAAACATGTGTATACCAAAACATTTGTCATTGCAACACGTTTCTGGGAGAAATGCTGCATTTTCTGGAAAAGTTCCAGGGGTGCCAATACTTTCGTCCATGACTGTATCTGGAAACTCTCTCATCTCTGTACTAACACACGTCAGTAATTATATGACTTCTTACAGGCGAATTCAGTCAAGCTTTGGTAACTGTAATGCTAAAGATATCATCACTAGCCCTGTCACAAGCACAAACCGATTTCTCTTGTACCCAAAATAAACAAGGACAGGACATTTTATTCTGACAGAACACAACTATTTATTTTAGAACATACTGTAACTTTTGACACAGTCTAATGCAAATAGCTTTCTGGTATATGCAGAAAATGTGACCTTAAAAAATGTACTTACACTGTTTCGTATTATCCATCCATCCATCCATCCATCCATCTTCTACCGCTTACTCCTTTTCAGGGTCACGGGGAACCTGGAGCCTATACCAGGAATCATCAGGCACAAGGCGGGGTACACCCTGGACATGGTGCCAGTCCATCGCAGCGCACAATCACATACACATACACACCTGTTTCGTATAATCCATCCATCCATCTTCTACCACTTACTCCTTCTTCAGGGTCGCAGGGAACCTGGAGCCTATTCCAGGAATCATCGGGCACAAGGCGGGGTACACCCTGGACAGGGTGCCAGTCCATCGCAGGGCACAATCACATACACATACACACCTGTTTCGTATAATATTATACTATATTATTTTACTGTATTATTCCACTCATGGAGTCATTTTTATATTCAATAACTACTTTACACTTGTCTACAGGGTATCTGGTCTCATCACCTAGACATCAATACAGCAGCTCCTTATAACAGCTAGTTAAATTAATTTTAGCTGTAGGCTACTGGTGGACGAATGACACCTATTAAATACCTCATCTTTTACACTGTTTTTTACACTCATTTACCCCACCATGGACAACTGAGAAATCACTGTTGCATACAGTACAGCAAGCTACACAGGGCGGCTATGGCGCAGTTGGTAGAGTGGATTGTCCACTAATCGTAAGGTTGGCGGTTCGATTCCTGGCCCGGGTGACTCCACATGCCGAAGTGTCCTTGGGCAAGACATCACCTGTGTCCTTGGGCAAGACACTGAACCCCAAGTTGCTCCCGATGGCAAGTTAGCGCCTTGCATGGCAGCTCTGCTACCGTTGGTGTGTGTGTGTGTGAATTGTGTGAATGAGACACAGTGTAAAGCGCTTTGGATAAAACTGTTGTTGTCTTTTACCCTTATTGTGCATGTATACACTTTAGTGTAGTCTGTTGTGACGTGCGTTTTGTAGGCCTACTTGTTTATTTTTTTTGTTTATTTTTTTTTTGGTTTGTTTGTTTTTTACACTCTGCCATTAAGCAGCAGAAACTAAATCGAACCGAACTAATGGATGATCTGTAGAGAGGGAGAGGGCGAGAGAAAAAGAGAAAGAAAGAGAGAGGTAGCTTGTAAAGCCCGCCTACCGAGAAAACTGATAGGTTAGTTAGCACAAAGCGCGGCCAATCGGGACGCTCTCTCTCTCTCTCATTCTCTCTCTCTCTCTCTCTCTCTCTCTCTCTCTCTCTCTCTCTCCCAGAGCCTGTCTACCACTAGAAATGACCATTGAACTGTCTCTCGCTCATTCTAAAAATAAATAAATAAATAATAATTAATTTCCGAGATATTATATATAATTTGCGGGCGTCAGGAGCCGCTGTTAAAATGCGGGAGATTCCCGGAACTTCCGGGAGAGTTGGGATGTCTGGTACTTTACTAATCATCTATTGGGGGGGAATACTCTTTAGAGCACAATGTTTTAAATCAAGTTCATTTGTTAGCTGCCAGACACCAAACATTCTGTACTCAAGGGCAATCACACCACAATGACTGCAATAGATATCCTGCAATCAAAAAGAGTTTTCCTCTATCTAAAGCTCTTTTTTCTCTCTCTCTTTATGGGCTATTCTGAGTTTATAATGACAATTCAAAATCACGAATATAAACACAGATTATCCTTTAACAAAAAGAAGATGAATATCCCCATATTTTCACATAATTTCCCTTATCCATAGAGAGAAGACTGAGTGAAAGACAAAAAATAACTCCTAAAAAAGGGAGGGGTGTACATGATGTTCATCTTATACAATTCAGATACAGTGTAGTCGGATCTATACTTTGACAGTGTTCCATATAGGCTTCTCAGTACAGCAGGCTAAATATGTGCACAATAGCAGGATGAGATCATTAATTTATCATCCAAGTCTACATTTTCCATTCCCCCCCTGAAAGGATTAAGAAGGTAGTCCATATTTCTTTAAATCCATTTAATGCCCTTGTTATTTTTGATCGTAAGGAATGATGTCATTTCCCTTGACTACTGTAACACACCAATATTTTCCACCTTTTTCCAGGAGTGATCTATTTCCCACTTGGCTTCAAAGAGAGAAATGAAAATCAGGAAGGATTCTTTTTTATTAGTCTCAATCTGATAAGATATAGGCTACATAATACAAATATGGAGAATACATCATTTATGACAAAGAGGGATATTCTTTTAATAATCTGTGAGACAACATGAATCACCCATTTCCAGAAACCCATGATCACTGGGCATTACCAGATGCTATGGAAAAATGTAGCTCAGTCCTGTTTACCCCTAATGCAAGTATCCTGAATATTTGGGCTAAAACTGTCTGAAGTTTTTAATAGTGTGAACTATCATTGCTTTCTCATTGCCTGTCATAACTAATTTTGGAAGTTTCAGGTACTTGGAAAACCTCAAAAATTGATGCTTGGACCTCACCTTGCCACATCGTATACCACCTCATAGGGAAGAATTATCCAATCTAAAAAGCTTCATATACCTCTGCCTGTCCTTTCTTATTCTACCCAACCTTCAGGGTTGGATCCTCTGGCAAAGTTTTAGATTGGTTTCATTTAAATCTTAAATACTATGTTGTGGGTACATTTGTTTTCAAGCACCAACACAAGCGTATTTTCTTGCTCCTTTAGTTTTCAACCAATATGTGCGTCCACCAGCTGGTATCATTAACAAATTAAATATTTCTTTATATCTCTACACAGGTCACACTCATGTACATTTTAATTGTACTTAATGCCGGATGCTGAGTGATCTGTTAGCTCCCTGCTTAGATTTGTGGATGTGTAATAATTTTATTGAGTCCTAGTTAGACAAAGATAAAGCAGAGGCTCTTATTACTGGGAGGAAAGATATACTGGCCTATCTTGGCTCCCTGCCTGTGAAGGACAAAAAAAACTATGACAATAACCTAGAAAACATTATTTATAGTGACCTAAACTTTGAAAAAAACAAAAACCCACTTGTCTACAAAACACCATGCTAATACCACTATCATTTTTAAAGTCAAAGAGGAAAGTACATGCCTTTCTCAACAGATCAGAAACAAGATTTCTGTAACAGCCTCCCATCTTGCATATAAGAGCTGTAACACGAATTTACAAAGAGTTAAGAATGCTGCTACCAGAATAGAGAGCACATCAGGAAAATGGCCTTGTTCATAAATCCCTCCAGTGGTAATATGTATCTTTTAGGATTTATTTTTATTTCATTTTATTATTATTTTTTTAACTTTATTTCTGCATTGTCTTCCAAGAAATGATTATCAAATATTTCCCTGAAAGACCCTCAATATAACCAAAACGTGGCTGCAGGTCTTTTAATAGCTTTTTGTTACTATATGGAGATAAACACTGGGATTTTCTACCTGAACATCCTGTAATCCATAGACACTTAAAATAATCGGAAACTGTATTTATTCAACACTTCATTCAGGTTGTTTATATTATACAGTGGTGCTTGAAAGTGTGTGCATTTTCAATAATTCTGCATTAATATGACCTAAAGTATTATCTGATTTTCACACAGGTCCTAAAAGTAGATAAAGAGAACACATTTTTTTTTTAATGAGACAAATATATTATACTTGGTAATTTATTTATTGAGGAAAATTATCCAATATTACATATCTGTGAGTGGCAAAAGTATGGGTTCACAAACTTTCAGGCAACTGTATGTTGGTTGTTGTAATGTATCTATTAAAAGCAGGCAGATTAAAGTGTCATGATCTAAAAGAAAAATATACACAAAACTTTGCTCTTCACATATCCAACAGTGGAAGGACGTTGTAGTCAGCACACTAAGTAAGCCATAGGAAAACAATCCTGGAGCAGTTGAAGGAAGGTGGAACTTTGAGAGTGATGGAATCTGAATTTTCACCCTTTCAATCAGTAAAATCTTAACTGCTGAGCCGCCACCGCCCATTACTGAGATATCACTGACCTGCCTTTTGAGCATTAAAAAAAAAATTTCATTAAAAAACAAATGTTTTTATTTTTTATTTTACTTAAATACTTCTACTACTCTCATGGTGGCTTAGTGGTTAGCCCGTTCGCCTCACACCTCCAGGGTCCAGGGTTCGATTCCCGCCGGGGCCATGAGTGCGGAGTTGTTCTCCCCGTGTTGCGGGGGTTTCCTCCGGGTACTCCGGTTTCCTCCCCCAGTCCAAAGACATGCATAGTAGGTTGATTGGCAGCTTGGTAAATTGTCCGTAGTGTATGAATGGGTGTGTATGTGATTGTGCCCTGTCCAGGGTGTACCCCGCCTTGTGCCCGATGCTTCCTGGGATAGGCTCCAGGTTCCCCGCGACCCTGAAGCAGGAATAAGCGGTTGAAGATGGATGGATGGACTTCTACTACTACTACTACCACTGAAGAAGAAGAAAACATGATGCACACATTTATTCATCTTCCATAATGCTTTATCCTGGTCAGTTGCAATGTATCACACCTTTTGGGAGTTGGGAGGAAACTGGAGAACCCAGAGAAAACCCACGCAGATACATTGAGAAACTCCACACAGACAATAACCCAGAAACAACAACAACAATCATCATCATTTTCATCATCATAATAACAGGAGGAAGAAAAGAACAAAAAGATATTTATCGAAGCCTTTGAAGCCATTTATTGAGTTTTTTTTATTCATTAGATTATTTTTTTTTTTACAATTCCAGTTTAACATTATTTATATGTGCTTTTTGTATATCAAGCTTCCAGTGTCCATACAACAGGAGCTACAAAGAAATAGTAGCCTAGTTGTTAGTGGTTTCCACCTGCACCGACATTAACATATATCCCGGATCCTTGATTGTTATGAGACCTGTGTGTTAGGTGTGGCTGTATCTTGTATGTATTGTTGCAACACATACACAGACATTTGGGAAACTGCTGTTTTATTCGCGCTGCCTGTTTTCAGTCACAAGATGGCGTCTTATCACATTAAGAGCTGTGTTCCGTGTGCGGAAACTAAACAGGAAGTGACTGCCGTTTCTGTCCCTCCTACCAAACTTAACTAGGGCACGACACAACGAATGACATTAAAATGTCAACACCGATTTGATTATTTTTGGTTAAACTGACGTGTTTTGTAAAGCAAAAACAACCAAAAAAAAACCGTTTCTATTTTATATTATCTTGTCTCATCTGTTCTCACTCGGCTGCAGTAACCTGGGGAACGCCGTGGGTTCGCGCTCCGCCCTGTGCTAATTTATATGCGGTCACCCCGCCCCTTCTCCCAGGCCCGCCCCATTCACCCGGGAGCGCGCAGAGAGGGAGGGGTTCATCACTTGTGCTCCGCTCCCGACGAAAAAAAAAAAAAAAAACTGGCAACGAGGAAAAGAGGAGTGCACAAGGCGACACGGAAGATAGCCTAGCTAGGTGGGTGTCTGGGTTTTTTTTTTTTGGTAAAGACCGCAACATTCATTTGCGTCTTTTTGCCTTTGTAACCCGGTACGCGTTTGAATGGGAGAAGTCCGTTTAGAGTCCGAGTGAAAAAAAAAAATCTCCAAGTGACCGAGGCAGATAAGTTCCGTGGCAGTGCGGGCTCGGACGCCCAAATTTAGACCAGTTGGAATTACAACTACTTCCTACTCCTGCCTGGAAAATCGGTTATCTGGCGTCAATAGGACGGAGCCTGCTTCGATAGGCCACGCAGCGGACTTGCACAAAGAACACAAAGGTAGACTGGAAACTTTGCATCTCTCGGGTTTGTTTCTTTTTCTGTCGCGTGCGGTTTATGTTTCTTTGATCTCTCCCTCGCGCGGCTTTTTAATGGCGTTTGGGTTTCCACATGCTAGCGCCGTTGCTTAGCTTCTCAGTTTGGAAAACTTGAAAGTTAGCTTGGCTAGCTCGCGGCCAGCTAGCATGCTAGCTAGTAAAGTTAGCTAGACCAACTGGCTGGCTAGTTTGTTTTCTAGCTAACGCGAGAAGCACGAATGACTCCCGTTTGCGCCAGATTGAAGTTGTGCTTATTTACTTTTTTTGTATATTTACGCAGAGACTTTAACTTGTGTGTGTGTGTGTGTATATATATATATATATATATATATATATATATAAGTAGTTCTAAATGATCCGTTTGTACGAGTTGTCAAAGTGTCACAATTCAAAGTAACTTTTTAATGTTGCGATTTTGTGTTTTATGTTTTTGAAATTGTTCTGTAGTTGTTGTATATAATATAGTTATAATAAAGACCCATCGCTTCAGGCGTTTAACAAACTGTGGGTTTGGATATAAAATACTGAATTATTTCTTTTCTTTTTTTATTTTTATTGTTGAACGTTAATGAGTGAAACCGCTCCATGTGTACCTAACGTTATAAAGCAAAGTTCATCCCCGGGCCATGTGAGGGGTCAAAGCCCAATTCACGAACACCTGCACTTGACTTGGAGTCTGGTTAATTAAGACTTCGAGGTGGTTCGCTGTAGTTTTGGCCCGAGTTGTAAACAGTGAACAGTTTCAGTTCATTGTAATGCCGGTGTGTTTTATAGTGCAGACCCACAGGTTAATTTGTGTGTGTGTGTGTGTGTGTGTGGTGTGTGGGGGTCGTTCTGTTCACGCGCTTTCCAATAAGGCGCGCGCACGTGTCCGGACAGGTTCGGGTCCGTATCGTGGACGTTATATATATAAAGTCGAGAACGTGGTTTGTGTTCAAGTGTGTGTGTGTGTATAAAAAAAACCTGTTGAGTAGGTCGTGTGTGTACGTGGGGGAAGGGACAGGCGTGGTTCGGTGTTTTCTTTGTAGCCCGCTTCTTGTGTTTTGCTTTGCATTTACACACAATGAGGGCCTCAGCATCAAAAAGTCAACAGTTCGGCTACACGGTTAGTAATTTTAAGCCTCGTCTGACTTCCCTGATCAATTCATCCCGAGTCATGTGTGAGAGACCCAAGCCGAGTTTCACCTTTACGTGGAGAAATGTTTGGGATGTTTCCAGTTTCCCCCTGCGGGTGTGTCTACCTTGACCTGTAGTGGCTCAAAGACATGTTCATACTTGTGTATTTCTTCCTTTTTTTAACTTAATTCATTTGAAAGAAATAAAACCCTCTACTTTTACCAAGTTAGAATGAGCTCAGGAGGCCGTAGAAGCAGCGCTTTTTCTGAGACGTGTCGCTTTCTTAACGGTGTAATAACCGGGTTTACGGTTACAAGGGTGTGTCCGGCCAACATGGAAGGGCTTGTGGAGCAGTCCTAAAACACAGGGCAAACCTCCTGCCTCCGGTTGTGGTTTCATCTCAAATACTCAGAAATATCGTGCTGTAAAACGACTAGGCACAGCGTATACTTCTTTCTTCTTCTTTTTTATTATTATAAATACCTTCTTGCTTAAGGGAGCAACGGCTCACCATGTTTTCCTCCCGATGTGAATAAGTTCAGTCCTGCACTGTTCATATTTTATTTGTGTGTTTGAAATGTCACTCGAACACTTTCTGAAGACCACCCGTTCCCCAGAAAGAACACCTTTCTGAGATGAATCCTGGCTGATCACTGCAGTACTTGAGCTTCATTTGTTCATTGTAAGAGTTGGTATGTTATAATGACCAAATGTGATCTCAATGAGTGTGTAGTTCAGCCACAGGCGAGAGTTGGATATGCGTTCAGTCCAAAGTTCAGTCGTTAGTTTGGACTCGAGCCATAAACCTGAGAAGGATTGGCTTTTCACTTTCACCTGCGTCAGAAAGTCCCAAATTATCTTGCTTGACGGTAATGCCATGGTGGCCATTTTCGGAGGAGTGTTTGTGTGGAAGAAGTCATCACAGTCCCTCTACACAGCAGTATTGCCTTCTGAAACAGTCTGTTAGCTCTTTTCTATAGTATAATTTTGGGTGTAGTTTTGTTTTTCTTCATCAATAGTACCACCAAAACTGTGTTGATTGTTTTTCTGTCTTCCTGAAACAGGCACTGGGACTTCCAAGCTACACCTTACACTGATTGTCCATTCAAAGACCTCTTTCACTGCCTGTGGGTCTCTGCATACTTCCAGTGTTTGCCCAAGCCTTCGCTTTTCTGTTTGGCATTTCAAATTTTTTCCCCTTTGGAATTTGGTCAGATCTGAGGTGGCTACTGGTCTTTCTAATTTTCTGTGATGTTCCAGATTCAATCTCGATAATGTTAGATGTCTGTGGTATTTTTGTGGTTCCTGAAAAAATGTGGTCAGTAGGCATTTCCCCCCGCTTGCCATGGTTAACCTAAATGTTTTGTGCATAGATGCACCACTGTTAACTCACCTAATTTCTGCTGCTTCTGCCGTCTAAAAGTTCACAACTGTTGGCTAAAATCTTCTTCTCGCTGAGCATCCCTGTTCAATGGCTTGTACATCTGCTCAGTGGTATGCAATGAGCTCCAGTTGTACACACTTCATCATTCAAGTGAACATGCTGTTATGGGTTCAAGCCGAATGAATTATCAGCTATTATGCCATCGCCTGATCCTGGGATTTATCTGGGTGTGCTCTTGTACGGTACAAGTTTATTCTGTTTTGGCTGGAAAGTGGATTAGTATAATATATTGACTGTCCCATTAGCAGTCATATTATACACTTAGGTGAGGTAAACTATTTTGGTGTAATGTTATTGCTGTCTTTTATAACAAAGATTTAGCCTGTTGAAGGGTAGTGTTGATACCTGTCTGTTTTTTTTTTTTTCTTTAAAGCGAAGCACTGGTTCTTCATCACTTAGTTGCTGATCTCCAAGTTTGCATTTGACAGGAATTTTTGTCTCCACAATGGCAAAAATAGCAGAACTGTGAGGAATGCAGCCTTGTTTGGCTCATTTGTTAGTTGCGTAGTAGGAGAATCCCAATAGAGATCATTTTGATTATTCCTTATTGTTTTACATGGTTGTATTGAGCGGCCTGGTTGCTTGCCCAGCAAAACCTACATAAAGTTTCCCCTCGTTTTGGGTCAGGCTTGTTCCTTAGGATGTCATTTTCTTAATCCTCTGGAGTAGACTTGGAACTTTTTAGGTACTGTTCCCAAAAATAAAAGTGACATGCTCAGCACGGCCTAGATTATAACTACAGACTATCGGTGTTCGAGGTGTGCTTTGAAGGAATACCCTTTGAAGATAAGACTGGCGTATTATGCAGAGGGTGTATTTGTGGTG